CCCACTGCCCGCTCTTTCTGGAGTATTTCCATTGGTCCCACTCTGGCACGTGACTCCTGCTCCTTTAAGAACGGCGGAGGGAAACCTCTCCATCCCGGGAACCCGGGGTACCTCAAGTCAGGACACCAGGAGAGGTATTTTGGAAGGGACGTGTTCCCGAGCGTCCCACCCACTCATGGGTGCGCCCCGGGGCGAGGCTCTCCGGAGACTTCCCGCAGCTGGGAGCCAGCAGCGGCGCACTGGTGAAGACAGGTGAAGACGGTTTGCTTGCACGGGGCACAAGGCTCTCGAGTACCTTTCGTGTTGTATTTTAGAGATTTTAGCACGAGAGTCACCCCTTAGCCTGTCTTAATGGCCTTGTCACGTGGAGTAGAATTTCTCCATCGAAACCCAGTGCTAAGCGGGTGCTTCTAGCCACCAGGATGGCCTCGAGGCATGTACTCCTCGACGTTTTGTGTACCTCTCCCACCACGCCACGTTGTTGTCTAGACCGTCTTGTTATGCAACTCTGTTCTAGTTTGCAGTGTCCTGTTAAGTGTCAGGGCCTGCAAGACCACTGTTCAGTTTTCAAGGTTAACTTTTCTGTTTCTTTCAAGGAGTGCCTTTAAGCCAAAGGATATTCCTCTCTCACAGTGAGAGAAAACGATTTTTTTTTTTTTTTTTTTTTTTCGAGACAGGGTTTCTCTGTAGCTTTGTGCCTTTCCTGGAACTCGCTTTGGAGACCAGGCTGGCCTCGAACTCACAGAGATCTGCCTGCCTCTGCCTCCCGGAGAAAACGATTTTAGGGCATAGGAAAAGGAACTCTCTGAAGAATCTTTATTCACCCAAATAAGTACCTTACTAAACTTGTGAGCTGTTTTCTTGTAGCACTCCAGTTAGATCGCTTAGGTGGAGGGAAAATGCTAAGAATTTACTTTTTTTTTTTTTCCTTTTCAGACAGGGTCTCTCTGTAGTCCTGGCTGTCCTGTCCTGGAACTCACTATATAGACCAATCTGGCCTACCTAGAACTCACTGAGATCCTCCTGCCTCGGCCTCCCAAGTTCTGGGATTAAAGGCCATTGCTCTCATGCCAAACAAGAATGTAAATTCTTGAGGATTTTCATTTTATTTCCAAGGCTTGCTTGATTTATACATGCAACAGTTGTGTACATGCCTTTTAAGCA